CACAGGGAAATATATACAAGATCTTGTGGTAGCTCACAGCAAAAAAAAAATGTGACAATGAATATATGTATGTTCATGTATAAGTGAAAAATTGTGCTCTACACTGGAATTTGACACAACATTGTAAAATGACTATAACTCAATAAAAAATGTTAAAAAAGAAAAGAAGAAGAACTGGGTGAGCTTTATGTTGGGGGTTTGGGAGGGGGACAGGGGTGTAGCTCTGATGTTGTGTTTCCTGCCCAATGTCTCCAAGACCATTTGGGACTCCCACACCTAGCAGTCAGTCATTAACCTATAAATGGGATCTGCCTCACTGATATTCAGTAGTCTGAAACACCTGTTGCTGATGACCAAAGGTTTCGTTGGAGTCATACAAGAAGTTCTTAGTTTGTTACTGGTTCAGAAACTGGATGTGTACATGCTCGAAATTATAAGAAAAAACTGAGCACTTCTCTGCTTCACCTTCCTTCTCCACCTTATCACAAGCTCACACAGCAGGGGACCTGATCTGCTCCAGCCTCATTGTCAGCAAGTGTATTTTAACTGTACTCAGAAGGCCCACTCTCCCAAAGGCAGGAATTTTATTTCGGCCACCATGAGACAGCATGTGCTAGGGACATTGGAGAAATCCAGCATGCTAGGCAGAGATCTGGAGGTCATCCATCAGTGTCGCCAGACTCCCTATAGCTACAAAACCGACGCTTTTGAAAAAAGAAAGCAGCACAGCCCTGCAGAGCATTACTCCACATGCTTTGTTTTAAAATAGGGCCCGAGGTGGGGAGGGTATGGCTCAGTGGTAGAGTCCATGCCTAGCATGCATCAGGTCCTGGGCTCAACCTCCAGTACCTCCCCTCAATAAATAAACCTAATTACCTCCTCCCAAAATAACCTTCCAATCCGGTGGTTCTCAAATGTTGCTACAAACTAGCATTATTAATGAAGCCTAGAAAATTCTCAATACTGACTGCATTCCAGATTAATTATGTTGGAATCTTGGGGTGGGATCCTGACATTCACAGTTTTTAAAGCTTGTCAGGTGACTCCAACATTCAGCCAAGCTTGGTAATCAAACACCCTCATTACTCAAAGGACAATCAACTTCAAGTTTGCAAGAAATGCAAAACCTCAAGGCCCACCCCACACCTACTGAATAAGAATCAGTACCTTAACAAGATCCCCACCCCTCTTTCCAGATAATTCATTAGTCCATTAAAGTTTGAGAAGTACTGATGTAGCCCAGAAGCCAAGGCAAGCTCTTGTGTTCAGCCCAACAGCAAAGTCAACCAACAACAGAACTGCTAGAAGTGGGTCACTGACCAAATGTGACAATGAGGAAAGATAAAGGGAAAAAAAATTTTAAGAGCAAACACAAGAGCTCCAAAAACAAAGCAGTCTTGGGATCACTTAGTATGGGAAGACCCACACGTACCGCAACATTCCCAGAGTACATGTTTTCAAGTGGATGAGGCAAACTATTAACAAATGAGCCTAATAATAATAGTAGCAGTAGTAATTACCAGTTCAATACATATTGGAAAAAAACAGGGAAATCAGCAGGGTTCTGTGCTAGAGAATAATGGGGCATCAGTGTTAATAATAACAATAATAATTATAGTAATAATAGCTAAGGGAAACATGGATATTATTCTAAGTAAAAATGGGAATACATGGAAGGGTTTTAAGCCGTGGAAGTGACCTGATATAAGTTACATTTTTAAAGATCACAAACTGAGCAATCCAACTGATCTTACTAAAAAGCAAGTCATATGATATCAGCAAAACATTCCAATGACTTTCCTTTCCCCTCATCAACCCAAGGTAAAGCCAAGGTCTGCACAGTCTAGCAGGCCCTACGCGATCTGACCCCCATCACCTGCCATTCTCCACTCTCCTCCCTCCCTCTGCTGCAGCCACACTGGCTGGTCTGCTGCTCCTCACATACATCAAGCATGCTTAGGACTTTTGCATTTGCTATTTCCTCTGCTTACAGCACCCTTACCCAAGTATTCATAAGCCTGCTCTCTCCTGTCCTTGGGATACTGCTTCAATGTCAACTAATCAAAGCTTGCACCCTTGACAGCTCCATGTAGTGCAGCAGCAACTGTAAGTCCCTAATTTCCCTATAGTCCTCTGTTTCCTTTACTCTGCTAAGTCTTCTGTATTACACATATTACCCCCTAATATTTTCCATTTTATTTGTTTATTTATTTCCTCAATATATATAAGCTCTAAGGACTTATTTTCACTGCTATACTCTGAGAATCTAGAACAAACCTAGCATATAGTAAGCACCCAGTGAATGTATGTTGAATTAATTAACTGGAAAAAATGAATTAATGATGAATGAGTGGCTGCTATGTGAAAATGTCTTAGAGAGTGACAAGAACAGAAGGAAGAAGATCAGATGGAAGGCTGTCACAGCAGAGCTGAGTGTGGACTAGAGTGACCTGGAGTAGACTAGAGGCAGGAGAAATGGAGAGAAGTGATTATAGGTGAATATATGTTTGGAAGGAGAATGAACAGAACATGTGGGTCAAATAAACTGTGGAAGAGAGATGCTGTTGTAGCCAGCCTCCAAGATGGCCCCCATGACCCCTACCCTCTGGCATTCATGCCTCAGTGCAGCCCTCTCCCACACTAAATAAGGCAGATCTGGGTGACTAGTAGAACATTACAGAAGTGTTGGTGTGACTTCCAAGGTGAGGCCATAAATGGCTTTTCTGCTTCTGCCTTGCACTCTTGGACTGTTCATTCTGGGGGATACCAGCCACCATTTCACAAGGATACTCAAAGAGCCTGTGTAACCACCTGTATAGAGAGAAACTGAGGCTTCCCACCAAAAGCCAGCACCCCCTTGACAGTAGTGTGGGTGAGCCATCTTGCACTGGATCCTCTAGCCCTTTAAGCTCTCATGTGACAAAGCCACCACCAAATATGCAACTGTGACCAAGTCAGAATAACCCACCTCCTATCCTACAGAAACTGTGGGTAATAATAAATATTTGTTGTTATTTTAAGCTACTAAGTTTCATCATATTTCTTACACAGAAAAATAAATAACTCAAACTGGGGCAGTGAAGAAAGCAGTCAACCCTCAGCTTCTAGCTGTAATAACTTTATGGGTGGTAGTACCATTTATCAAGATGGAAAAGACATAGGACAATAATTACACTCATATCATTATCCAGGGCCATGATAAATCATGTCCATATGATTTTGTTAAAATTTATGTAATCATTTCATAGAAAACAAACTTATAATTACCAAAGGGGAAAGAAACGGGTGGAGGGGTAAATTAGGAGTTTGGAAATAACAGATACATACGACTATATACAAAATAAACAACAAGGACCTACTGTATAGCACAAGGAACTATATTCAATATCTTGTAATAACCTATAATGGAAGAGAATGTGATATATATAGATATAGATAGGTAAATAGATAGATAGATCTGATGTAACTGAATTCCTTTGCTGTACACCTGAAAAACTAACACAACATTGTAAATCAACTACACTTCAATAAAAATTTTTAAAAATAAAATAAATAAAATTTATTTAGTAATCCAACTCATTTTATTCAGTACTATCATGAAACAGGCAATGCAGAAGTGGATACAAATTAGTCATTACCCTCAAGGAGTAAGTCTGTAGATTCAAGAATCTGAAACATATTTGTAACATTTGTTCATAAGTTTCCCTCTCTCCCATTTTTCAGAATTATTCTTAAAGAAATAATCTTCAAAGAGGAAAAAGCTGTGCCTGTGTTGACATTTCCTACAGCTGTATTCATTAGAGGTGAAACATTTAAAACAATCTTTATAAATGTCTAACAATGAAAAACCTATGAAATAAAGTGTGATGTATCAACTTATAGATATTCCTCAGTCATCTAAAAGGACAATTATGAAGATGGTAGAGCTGTGGCAGACTTGGTCCACAGAAAGCTATGACCTCCTTCCACAGGGCAGAGTTCTTGCTGAGGACCAGCTGCCCAGCCAGGGGCTACATTTTCTAGACTACTTTTGCTCCTAGCTGTGGCCATGCGACCAGTTTTCACAATGAGTAATAAACTAGTGTGAGAATGAAAACACAAGTAACCTGTGTTCCTTCCAAGCGAAGGATGTTAAGAAGCAGATAGGCCTTCCCCTCACTGCTTATTTACCCTTCCACAGACTCAATACAAGCAACCACATGGTGCTAGGAGATGCCAGAGCCCAAGACGGAAGGAACCTGGGTCCCTGTCTCACTGGATGGACAAGGGTCTTTCCCCCCAGCAACACACACATTGTACTATTATGTGAGTGAGAAATCACTTTCTATTGTTTTTAAGGCAATAAACATTGCCTACATTTCAGGTTTATTTGCTGAAACAACCTGCATTTTCTTAAGTAGTAGAAAAGGAACATAGTCAACGCTTTAATGCTAAGTCAACAATGCTGAAATCTAAACAACTTTTATGCTATCATAACAATGTACAACCATGTACACTTTGGGGCTAGCACTTAGAAAAACAGGGAAATCAATACGTACAGTTTATTTGTTAAATAGGAGAGAGTATAGATACATTTTGTCTTATTAAATTAGAATTTTTTGGAAAAGGTTAAAAGTGAGAGAATATATTTGAATAAAATTTCAACCTGAAACATTTTAGTTATAATTGGAGGATTAACATAAGATTAAATTCTAGTTATCTGGAAATTTTACCTGGGTGGACCTGCTCGTTAAGCCACTAATACCCATAAAGTGAGGTAGTTCTGGACACTATAAGTAACTCCAGTTGAGGGACCTCTGAGAGGCGACAAGTACTGCAGAAAATGCAGGAGAGTGACAGATGAGGCTTTGAAGGTAAGCAGTGGAAAATTGTTAAGACGTTTGTGTCCCATGTGAATGCTCACCAAAAGGTGACCTCAGCAGAGGAGGATTTTATTAACAAGTGTATATGTCAGCCTCTTCCCTGAGCCACTCCTGTCATTGTCCAATGGGCTCGTGAATAAAGCGGCCATGGTGGCAGGGAGGGAGGTCACGCATGGACCTCCACTCACCAAGGCTGATCTGCCTACAGCCACTGCTGAGAGCCCCATCTGCCCACAGCAGAGACTGACCCTCACTCCAAACTCCACCTCTGTGTTCACATCACCTTCTTGGTGTGTCTGTTTTCTCCTCTTCTGTGAACTCTCCCTCTCCCAATTAACCTAAAGCAAATGTGGTCAGAAAAGCTATGGAAGCCCTGCTGTATAAAGAAAAATCACCCAACTTGAAGTTAAAAGATCAAGATGTGAGTCTTGGCTCCACTTCGACCTAAGGCAAATCACATCACTTCTCTGAGGCTTCACGACTTCATTTGCAAAGCTGAAAGGGCAAAGGGTCATGAAAATTCACTTTAGATGAGACTGTATACAGGGAAACTCTGAAATTCAACACAATACACATCACGCTCTTGCCTCCACCAAATGCCCTCCCCTATCCCCTACATTTAAAATTCATTTGTAGATCACAGATTATCCCTTAAACCACCACTTCACTCTCTGAAAGTCTTACGAAAACTACCCTCTGCCAATGTTGCAGACTGCTACCTTGCAAGGAAAAGATGGTCTATTCACATAAGTAGCTTTAGTTTTGTCTGTAGCAGCGGAGCAGGCAACATCTGACTTTTATTCCTGGGTGGAACCCAGACCGCAGCCTGGGGAGGTCTGAGCCATGGCATTCTGCTGCTCCCTGGCCGACCCTCCCAAAGGCATACTGGAAGGACTGCCGCTCCCATGCCATGCCGGCCTGTCTTTGGCCAGAGGAAGGGGAACCCCACCCAGCCCTGCAGAAGGTGCCCCAACCCGGGTGGGCTTAGTCCACTGTCACTTACACACACACCTAGAAGGCACATGGGTACAGATCCCAGGGTCCACAGGTAACCATGAGAACTCTGTCACACCAGTGCCCGCAGACACATATGTGAGGCACACACTCTCCCAGATACCCAGATACCCAGGCCCAGCGTGAACTTGTTCCCACCCAGGCATGACTTCCAAGTGTGCTTAGGGAAGGGAGGATGTAGCAGGGAGCCCACATTTCCCACGGTGCAGACACTTGTGATCGCTCTGAGTCTGTTCCCTAACTAGTTGCCAGGGCCTTCCACCAACTCTTAGACTTCACCTGGACTGTATCACTGTTTGCTGCCCCCATGAATGGGCACAACAAGTGCCAAGGGAACCAGTATGCCCTTCCCTATGCCACAGACTAGTGTTCCGAAAAAGAGATTATTTTATTTCAGACAGCTTTCTCCCAGCATGTCTATTCTTTACTATAAACAATGAATTGTTTAAATGATTTTATTTCTGATGACCCCCACTTTTCAGAACACAACCAACCACTCTTCTAAACTAGATTTAATATTAGTTAAGTGTCTAATTAGCTCAAGTTAAAGTCCTGGAGAGCAGGGATATACAATGTA